GGTACTTCAGCTCATGTCTGTCTCATCAGTTCTCACTGGAAAATAAAAGCAAACCAGGAAATAAACAGGCAATTCTAACAATAAATAAGTTAGAGATGGGGAGATGATGATGTATCCATTCATCTGAAATCTTTTTACTGTTGTCTTTTAAAAATGTCCTCTCTAGCACTAAGACTAAGAATGGGGTCTGCACATCACGTTCCCCAGAAACCTGCTACACAGATAAAATAAAACTAAATAGCATCCAGGCCAGGTTATCTGTCCCACCCCATATTCCAGACTTCTGGGATTATTAATACTGGTAATATCACAACAGGACTGTGACTGTCAGATGAAGAAAATTGCAACTTTGTGAACTGTGCTTATGTAATAAGAGAAAACTTCTTATGAGAAGTAGAGTTTTAAGATGGATATTAAAGGAAGGAATTCTATGGATAGGGAGAGAAATTTACAGCCTTGGAGATAAGTGAAAGGTAGATAGTTTGTAGGGGTAAACTATTTTAAAGTAAAAGCACAAATGGGAACATTAGAAAGCCAGAAAGAATGGATAAATATTTGGATGACAGGTTTTGGGTTTACGATGCTAAGAGAAACTCTTGGAGTGTAAGATTTAATTAAGATGCAGTGGGCCAAATGCTATTCAAATTATATGATACAAGAATTGCTGACAGTTTTTTTTAAAAAAATTACATTTCTTTTGTGATAATTTGTAAACCAAATTGTGGGTAAACACACATTGAACTCTAAATTATGTATGTGTAGACACATTTTCAAGCAAGATGATTAAAAATTTTTTTTGAATTTATTCTATCTAGTTGTACATGACAGCAGAACGCATTTCAATTCCAAGATGAATTATTTTAAGGGTGATGTGATAGAATCAGGAAGAATGTTTCTGATTTTCTTTTAAATAATTTACACTGTTAAAAACCCCAGACCTATTAATATTTACTGCATAATAAAATCTGATCTGGCCCTAGTATCTTCCCTCCCACTTCAGCCTGGTAATCTCTTCTCTAAACCCCTTCTTGTGTGTCTCTCAAATAAGAACACAATTCCCCAAAGGATCTATCTAAATAGTATTTTTATTCTGTTCCTCCTAAATCAAATAATGTTTTTATATGCACAGTAGAAGTATGAAATTTAAACCCAATATATAAATAAAAATTGAATTAATTTGCTCAATCTACTGCCCCTGAATATGATTATTTTCCTATCACTTCTCTCTTCCTTGTGTCACTAGACTGCAGACCCTCTACCTGACTAGATTCATTCATTCACTCAGAAAATACCCGAGGAATGTAAGTCCTCCCCTGTAAGGGCTAGGCTTTTAGCCTATTTTCTTGATTATTCTCTTGCTCATAGTGTTGGGCTTAGTACATAGTGGTACTCAGTAAGTGTTTTCTATAAAATCCTGTGCTTGGCATGGAGCCCCAGTGCTCAAGAAGGTCACAGTCCAATTGGGACAAAGATGACCAAATAAGCAATTATAGCAGTTGAAAATAATTATTGAAGATAGATAAGTTAATACAACCCTAGCACTGCTAGCATTTACCATTGCCAGACAGTGTTCCACATGCCTTACTGCTCTAGTCTGAATGTTAATGTTTTCTTAAATTTGTATACTGAAATCCAAACCCACACAGAGATGCTATTACGCAGTGGTGTCTTTGAGAGATGAAAAGGTGGTGGGAATAAGGCCCTTATAAAAAGGATTACTGCCCTTATTTTAAAAGGTCCAAAGGGGCTGTGTTAGTCAGTTTTTTATTGCTGTGACAAATTCCTGAGATAAATAAAGTTAAAAGAAGAATAAGTTATTTTTGATAACAAATGTTTCAGTCCATGGCTGATTGGCTCTATTGCCATTGGACCTGTGGTAAGGGAGACCATTATGACCAAAAGTGTGTGGTGGAGCAAACCTGATGACTTCATGGAAGCCAAGAAGCAAAGAAAGAGAGGAAGGGACCTGATTCCAACATTCCCTTCAAGGCTATGTCCCAAACAACCTAACTACCTCACTCTAGGTCTCAATGCAGAAAGCTGCCTCCTAGCAGGGCCACAGGCTGACAACCAAACCTTTAACACATAAACCTCTGGAGGACATTAAAGATTCAAACCATAACAGAGTTCTTTTGTCCCTTTCACCTTACAAGTCTACAGCTTGAAGGTTTCCTCCAAATCAGAAACTGAACCTTCACCAGACACCAAACCTGCTGGCACCACTATCTTAGACTTCCCAGCTTCCAGAACTGTAATAATTAAATGTTGTTTATAAGCCACTCCTGTTTGGTAATTTTATTATAGCATCCTACACAGATGGACTAAGATATTTATGTGTATTAATTCACCTAATTCACACAACACTGTGAAATGTGCATTCTCATCATTTCCATTTTTACAGACACAGTCAAGTGCGATAACTTGTCCATGGTAACACAGCTCAGAAGTAGAGAGCAATATATAAACCCAGGCAGTCTGCCTCCTGGGTAGAGCACTGCAGTCACAAACCAAAGAATCAGACTGACTTAAAAACTACTGAAGTTTCTTCCAGGACTGAGATTCTAGGTGATGACATCAGTGGTAATAATGAAGCATAGGACAATGGAAAAGACATTTATGAAAGCCTTTCCATTTGGAACATACTGTTGCTTCTCAAACTTAGGGTGCTCCAGAATTCAGAAGATTTAGAATTCCAGGTCTGAGGTCCTGGAGTTTCTGAACCAATGAAGTTGGAGTGTGGACTTGGAATCTATATTTTTAACAAATCCTTCAAGTGATACTGGAAGTCCAAGTCATATTTAAAAAGCATTGCACTAGATCTTGTTATCTCTTTCATTCCTGGCTCTCCTCATTTTTTTTTTTTTTTTGGGTAACTGGAATTGAACTCAGGGGCACTCAACCACTGAGCCACACCCCCAGCCCTATTTTGTACTTTATTCAGAGACAGGGTCTCACTGAGTTGCTTAGTGCCTCGCCATTGCTGAGGCTGGCTTTGAATTTACCATCCTCCTGCCTCAGCCTCCAGAGCCTCTGGGATTACAGGCATGTGCCACTGCACCCAGCTCTCCACTTTTCTCTTAATTTAAAACTGAATTAACAATGCAGTACAGGTGCTGCTGCTCAGGGCACTCCATCTTTAGAAGCCTCTTGAATGACAGGGTTCATAGAATCTGTTCAGGATGTAAATCTCTGTTTTTGGTTTTGGTTGATGTGTCTCTTCTGGAAGCCAAGAACTATATCACACTCTGTTTAATGTGCTTAGATCCTTTCTTGGAACACAGGAAATTTCTTATCTACAGAAGGAACTGATGAATAGCAGGAGTCAGGCTTGTGCTCTGGACCAGTCACCAGTCCTGCCTTTGAGAAGCTTACAATCAGGAGAAGGACACAGACACCTAGATCAGGTGATGGGTAGCCATAACTTTCTAAATATGATCAGCATATATGAGTGCATAGGAACCAATAAATAATACTGAATAGACAAATGTACAGAATGGGAAACCATACTAGAAAAGTACCTTAGAGGCTGTAACCGGCTGAATTGTGTCCTCCCATAAATCGATACATTGAAGGTCTAACTCTAGTATTTCAGAATATGGGTACACTTGGAGATAGGCTTTAAGTGAACTTATTAGGGAAGTCCCTAATCCAATATGACTAGTGTCTTTGTAGGAAAAGAAGATTAGAGAAAAGATGAGCCATTTTCACGCCAACATCTTGAAAGAAAATAAATTTCCATTGTTCCACCCTGACCTTGGTAGTTTGTTATGGTAGCTCTGTGTTAGCAAAGTAATACAAGAGTAAACCATGAAAATTTACTAAAGCAAACTACAGAAATTAAATGTTATTTAAACTGCTGGAAGTCCACAGAGATGTCTAAGCATCAATATGATAAATTAGCGGCTTTGATTCTGTAATATAATTTGCAAACAGTGGAACACTGACAAGAAGTAAAGAAGTGGAATTGAAGGGAGGTCATTTGATCCAATGCAGAATAACAAGATGTAAATCAAGGCTAGTAGGAATGAAAAGTAGAAATTTCATCAGAGAGACATTTGGGGGCAGAAATAACAAGATTCAGAGAACAAGAGGTGCAGGAGGTGAAGAGCAGACAGATAAGAGTATTATGTAGAAAAGTAGCTTGGGAAGTCAGGAAGGCAGTGCTGATGAATAAACCCTCAAATGAGGGTGTGGGCGAAGCAGTTTTAGAAGTGGAGAAAGGATTAAAAGTTGAATTTGGGGTAGATTGAGTTTGAACATCCAGTCGGCTGTATGAGCTGAACAGAAATACAGTTCTAGACTTCTGGCCTAATGTAGGATTCTGTTACTCAGAGGCTAGTGCTGGCTAAGGGGAGAAATAAAGTCACCTTGGAAGCATTAGTGATCTGAGATCCAAGCCCCAATCCTTGGGATCCCCACAATGTGTGGAGAAGCCAACTAAAGACTGAAGAAACCACCAAACAGCAAAATCAGGGAGAGGAAGGTGGCAGAAGGCAAAGCAAGTCAGTCTTAGTAGTTTGCTGGTGGTCTCTAAAAGAGGGAAAGTTTTCTTTGCTCCTGCTGAGACGTCAGCTTTGGCTGGATTTTACTAATTTACGCTATCCTACCAAAGAGTTTCGATATTTCTGTGTGTGTGTGTGTGTGTGTGTGTGTGTGTGTGTGTTAAACGCTTCGATAAATCAAGGCAATAGTGGCTAGCAGTTAAACAGCACCATTATTTGGAAGTCTCCCCGCAGTCGGGCGGACGGGCGGATCAGCTACTCCCTCCCTTACTGAGCCTCTACCCGAATGGAGCGTGGGCGCCCGCCGGGACGCCAGCTCCGACTCCACTTGGAACGCGGGCCGGGGCTCAGCAGGGCGCGCGCTGGCCGTGGGGGAAATCTCCTTGCGCCTCCCCAAGCAGCGCGCCACGGCTTCTGGGCAAGGCGAGGCGAGGCTAAGGGAGGCGGGCCGAGGGGGCGGGCGAGGGACGCGGGACTGCGGGGCGGTCGGGGGCGGGGAGCGGGCGGCGGCGGCCCCGGGAAGAAAAGAACATGGCTCCTGCGGTGGGCAGCATCGAGGGAGGCGCAGCGCATCCGCGCGCCGGGCGCCAGTGACCAAGATGGTGAACTCCAGCCGCGTTCAGCCGCAGCAGCCCGGGGACGTGAAGCGGCAGCCCCCGCCCCGAGCTCCCGGCCCAGGCCGCCTGATGGCGGGCGGCGCGGGCTTCCCAGCCCCGGGCGGCCTCCGGGAGCAGCGGGGCCTGGAGATCGAGATGGAGCGCATCCGGCAGGCTGCCGCGCGGGACCCTCCAGCGGGAGCCTCGGCCTCCCCCTCTCCTCCGCTCTCGTCCTGCTCCAGGCAGGCGTGGAGCCGCGACAACCCGGGCTTCGAGGCTGAGGAAGACGACGACGAAGAGGAGGTGGAAGGGGAAGAAGGGGGAATGGTGGTGGAGATGGACGTGGAGTGGCGCCCGGGCAGCCGGAGGTCAGCAGTCTCCTCCACTGTGAGCTCTGTGGGCGCCCGCGGCCGGGGGCTGAGTAGCTACCACGGATCTGGCCACCCGAACGGGAGGCGGCGCCGACGAGAGGACCAGGGTCCGCCATGCCCTAGCCCGGTCGGCGGCGGGGACCCACTGCATCGCCACCTCCCCCTGGACGGGCAGCCGCCCCGCGTGGCCTGGGCTGAGAGGCTGTTTCGAGGGCTGCGAGGTAAGACCGCGACCTGCAGTGGCTGATGCACAAACCAGAGTTGCTACTAGTGGCCGGAGCTCTCGCCCTTGGCTGATAGCTGTCCAGGCCTCCACCTCGCGTTCCCCTCTAGGTCCCCGCCTCCTTTGGAAGGGCCTTCCCCACCTCTGCTAATTCTGCTTTATTTCCGGTACCCTTCTTGCGATTCCACTGAGCCCGCGTTGGTCAGAATTTATTGGGTTCCTCCCTCTTTAGGATATGTCCGCATGAGACATATCCTAAACAAGTGAGAACAAGTCAAAGACAAATTGGGTTTTCGTTGGGGGGGGGGAGAGTGAAGATTCCAGTATAACTGATGATGGTTGCAATTGCATGTTTTCTTAATGTCACAAAATCCAGAACAAAATAAACTAGCTCCCTTGCCTGCTGGTCCTCCGGCGTTGATGTTCCATTATCCCCCCCATTCCGTTCTGGAAAGAAAACAATACAGTGTTATCCAAATTATGGGAGGGGTGTCATTAGGTTGTCATCGATGTTGTTTTGATGATGTGTCTATCACAATTTGGGGAGGAGTTGTTGAGAACACCATAAATAGAATAAAAATGATGTCTATGATAGTAGATTTGGGGGACATTTCTAGTTCTAGTCATTTTTCTAAAACAGTTGCAAAGAACAGATTACATTGCTTAAAAAAAAGTGTTTTTAAATAACAGTGTTCCTTGGAATTCCAACAAAATGATGAAATCTTCAGATGCCACTTGATAAATGTGTCTGACTTGGGTGCACTCAAAAGGCAGGAGAGGAGTTTTCAAATTATCTGGTGCCTACTAAGAGGACACAGATTTTTATAGTAGCAAGTGAGATCCTGTTTTATAAATTTTTGTAAGACACATCCTTGGAAAAGTGTTGCATTGACTCTTACCACCAAATTATTTTAATATCCATCTTTACAAGTTTCCATTCTCAGTTTTTTGGAAACCCTCCCTACATTTCCCTGTCAATTTTGGAAATGGTTCACAAAAATTCTACAGATATTGTTATAGCAGTGTAATTAAGACTCCTACATTGGAGTCCCAGTTCTGCTACTTGTTGGCTATATGACCTTGAACAAGTTTGATCTCTTTGACTCTTAAATTTTGCATCTGTTAAAAAAGAAAAGAGATAATCATAGTACTTCTTGATTTGTTGGAAGAATTAAATGAGATATCCAAAATGGGAAGGAAGCCTTTGCCATATTGTGAGTGCTTTATAAATATTATAAATTGTGTTTCTTTTACATGTGTGCTTGTACTAGTTTATTTGATTCAGGATATTTGATTGAGGGTATTTGGTTAAGGATATGATGGAGAACAAAAGATACTTTTTGATAACCTAAATGAGCATGTTAGTAAAGCACTAATAGTTTTTAAGGATCAAAAATATATCAAAATTAATTAGATATTATTTTATACTATGTAAAATGTGATTTAAAAAAGTCAGTGAAGTGAGAGAGAAGTTTCTTTTAAGTTAATAAATACTAATAAGTCTCGTGATCTTTTAAAACTCAGATTATTTAATAAAACAACCTTTCACTAAACTCAATAATGGAATATAATAAAATGAAATATGTATTTTTATTTGAGGATATATACACATTTATTTCTTTTGAAGAAAAATTTGAGGGCTATTACAGTGAATACTAGTCAAACCATTTCAGTGGGAACTTCCACATAGCTGAACACATGGGACTTCTAGAGTGTGGTGTTCCTGGAAAGGACATGGAGGCTGTGCACCCCTTCCCAGTGGTAGGCTCTGTGAATCTGTTCATTTGTTTCCTTGGTAATATCAGTTATATTTGATTGATAAATATAAGAAGGAAAAAATCCATCAGTGGTCTAACTTATAGGAGAGGAGACTCAAGCATAATTATTAATTATAGAAAATGTTTTAAATTTTGTTTTATTTCTGTTAGGGAGAGATAATAGTTGGCATTCTTGTTGCTTACTAGATAAACAACTTGATAAATATCACCTAGTATGTAGTTAATCATGTGCTAGCAGCTAGGAAAGGAAATAAACCAGAGTGGTACATCACCATTTTCTTATGGAGAGAACTAAGAAATGCAAAATTAACAACCATAAATGGATTCCATTATTTTCCCCTCTCAGGATATGGATGATGGGAATCTTTTTTGTAATATGTAAGCAGTGCCCCAGGATCAGAAGAAAGTAACTTTTTGATTTTTAAAGGTAGGAGAAATTACTGGAGCTTGGAGTGGTCAGGAGATTGTCTGGAGTTCTCCCACCTTTGTGACTTTAAACAAGCTTCAGCATACTTGGTTGTTGTTTAATGACGTGAATCTGAGATGGACAGCAAATGGTCCTTCCTGCTCCTTGGACAATAGATAGATCTGTCTTTCTAGCAGAAGATGGTGAGCAAAGAAGTGCTGAGAGCTGGTTGTGGAATATATTGTATCTAAACAAGGAATTGAGAATGTCTTCCTATATATTAAGAAGCAACTGAAGGTTTCTGAGTAGGAGCAGAACATGCTGATAGGAACTAGAAGTCAGCAGCTTGGAGAGCAGGAGAACTTGTATTTCAGGAGAACTTGAAAAGGGAGATACCAATCGAGGAGACTGAGTAGGAAGTAGCCAGAGTGAAGGCGCTGAAAATGTGGACCAGAGGCAGCAAAGGATGGCTGGAAGATACAGGCAGTGCCCCAGACTAAGAGAGATTCCCAACAATCTTCTTTATTCTTTTTTTATATATTTTAAAACTTTTCTTAGTATAAATGTGAAATGTGGCACTCAATAGTTATCATATAGTCTGAATTTCTAAAGTCAAATGATTTATGATTGTATCAACTTGCTAAAGTCAGTTTTTTCTTGTTATTTTAAATATGTGTTCTTGAGCTATTTTGGTTCCTAAGAAATTACAAAATATATGTTAAATATTTCTTATCTGAAATACTTGAACCAAGAAGTATTTTAGATTCTGGATTTTTTTTTTTCAGATTTTGAAATATTTACATATACAATGAGATATCTTGGGGCAGGAACCCAAGACTAAAGGTGACATATATGTTCCATATATACCTTATACGCATAGTCTATAAGTAATTTTATACAATATGTTAGTGCACTTGCATTTTAACTATGATATATCAAATGAATTCAGGAGTAGAGTTTTCCATTTGAGGGATCAAGGTGGTCCTCAAAGGGTTTCAGATTTTGGAACATTTTGAATTTCTAATTTTTGCATTACGAATGTTCAACTAGTCACATTGGTCAGGGTGAGCTAAGTTACTATAAGGAATAAACATCTTTTTTCCCATTTGGTGGCCTGAAGAACTAAAGTTGATTTCTTATCCTCATTACATTCTAAGGAGGGTGTCCAGGTTAGTGGCAGCTCTCCTCCATGGAGTTATTCAGGGACGTAGGCTCCTTCTTTCATGTGGCTTTGCCAGGGCCCTCTCATGGTATCCATGACCAAAGCTGGATATCCAGGTTCTTGTGACAAGAGCATAAAGATGGCTTGTCATTGCTGTTGACTTAAAGGGTTCATCCTGGAAATGGCCCCCATAACCCCCACTTACGCTCCATTGGCAAAGTTCATAATCACATAGCAAAGAATACCAGCAAGAGAGGTTGGGAAGTATGATAATAGCCACATGTCTAGAGGGAAGAAATGGATTTGGTTAGACAGCTAGCAGTGTCTGCTATATTGGTGCTAGGGCTCAAGTGAAATATTAGGTGTACTCTTCTAAAGGAATCAGACCCTGATATTGAGATTGATCTGCTATTTGTATTTGATAAGTGACTTTGCTGTACTCTTATTGAGTACTCTTGATTTTCCCTGCCTTTCCATTTGATATCTTTAGGGGAGAATATTCACAGTGATTAAGACTTAAAAAAGATCTGAACTTGGCTGTAGCTGATGGTACTAAACCAGATCGATAAACATGGAACCCACCATTCTTTGTTGCATTTCATGAGAATTCATCTAATTTTCTTAAGGCTTCAGAATTCAGTCTTATTTCCTCAACAGCAGTGCCTTGTTCTAAATTGGAAGCCTTTAACCTTCAGCCTGGGTTCAAGGGCAGTTTTGTCCTTCAGGGGTCTTTGGCAGGTTCCCAGTACAATTTTTGTTTTTTTGAATCAGGGTGTGAGGTGTATGTTTGTGAGGGGCACTCCTGGTATTTCTGGGTAGAGGGCAAAGATTCTACTAAACATTCTACAATGCACATATGGTCCCCCGCTCCTACCACAGTGCATTATCTCCTGCCCCAAATGTCAAGAGCGTAGAGGTTGAGAAGCCTTGCTGAAAGTTGATAAATTGAATAATAATAATCTATTCTTCACTGTGTTCTAGGTACTGTATTGAACTCTTTATTATGTACATACTTTGATTTTTATCCTCAGGACAACCCTGTGAAGCAAGTTCTATCATCACTACCATTTTACAGATGAGGTTAGACCACTTGCCCAGTGTCACAACTATTAAATGCTTGAATCAGGATTTAATTCCAAGCATTGGACCCCAAAGGTGTTATTATCCACTATAGTATATCCTTGGAATGCCTGAATGTAACTTCAGCCAGCCATTCTCCTTACAAATATGAATTCATTAGAATATTCCAGATAAATTTGCATATCCAAATTCTTGATCTAGAGAGTAAGAGAGCCTGCCTTTCTTTAAAAAAAAATGGCATATATAACAGAAAAATATTGTTTTAACCATTTTTAAGGCATTTTATTTTATTTTTGTATTTGTAGTTGCTAATGGACCTTTATTTTTTATTCATATGAGGTGCTGAGAATTGAACCCAGTACCTCACACATGCTAGGCAAGCCCTTTGCCACTGAGCCACAACTCCAGCCACTGTTTTAACCATTTTTGAGTGTATAATTCTGTGGCATTTAAGTAAATTCATAACATAGTGAATGTGCTTTACTTTTATTATTTCCAGAACTTTGTCATCATCCCACAGAACCCTTGTATTCATTTAACACTGATTCCCTAATCCTACTTACCCCAAATTCTGGTAGCCTCTATTTTATTTTCTGCCTCTATGAAATTCTCAATCCGTGGCTATCTAATATAATAAGTGAAATCAAACAATATTTGTCCTTTGCATTGGCTTATTTCACTTAGCATAATGTTCTCAAGGTTCATCCATGTAGCAGCAGGCCCTTCATTCCTTGTTATGAATGAATTGTGTCCCATTGTATGTCTGTACCATGTTTTGTTTATCCTTTCCTTAGTTAGTAAACATGGTTCCCCTCCAACCCCCACCCTTTGGCTACTGTTACTTTCCCTTATTTTTAACCCAAACTTTATCGCTTCCTTTTCCTTTTTTGTTTGCACCATGATTTTGAACAAATGGGGGTTTGTATTTTCATTACCTGGGGGGATTCTTTTGATGGAAGTTTGCTCCCCTTTGGAGATTATTAAGGTTATGCTAGTAACAGAATTCATGCAATCAATGGTCATATTTTGAGAATCCCTTTTATGGTAGGTCTTAGGGATACAGAAAAAATAACACCAGGACCCAACTTTTAGAAGGTCAGAGTTGAGTAGGGGTAGTAGAGGTGATAGTAGGTCCCAGGGATAGAAGGAACCCAAAGAAGAGGGGGCTAGTTCTGCCTGAGGAGGTCAGAGACTTCCAGAAGCAGGTCAAATTTGAGCTACATTTTGAAAGTATGAGGTAGAAATTCAGGGAGGGAACCACCGAGGGAGCAGGACCAAGCAAACCTGCAGCTAACATTATGGAATTGGAACTTTTTCCAGTAGGCAGTTGGAAGACAGAGAGGATGGGGTAAGGTGGATGGTTCTGAACCCCAGGTCAGGAGCAGGCTGATAGGGAGGGGTGACCAAGGCCACAACCAGACACATGAGGATGGAAGAAAGAGGTTGTCAGGACTGTGGAACCAGCTCCATGTGAGGGCTAAGAGGAGGGCCTATTTCTGACTTGATGCAATTAACCCAGACAGGAAAACTAGTCTTCTAGAGAAAGAAAAGAAAAATCTTTTGGGCTATAAAAGTCTGAGCCACCTATGGAATGTACAATTCAAGTACCCCTATTTTGGATAAGAGTTACATATTTAACTGTTCTTACTTTATCAGTGATATTAAACAAGAGAAATAGTTGACTACAGGACAATTATTTTACCCATCAGAATGTAAATAAGTCCTTGTCTCTCAAGGTAGATCCTATATGTATGTACACACACACACACACACACACACACACACTGAGTGGGAAAATGGAATGAAAATGTTAAAAACCCATAAATATTTGAGGAGGTAGGTAGAGTAGTTTAGAAAAAGTAAAAAACACTTAATAATTGATCATATAAAAATATAAGTAAGGGGACTTATTTCTTTCTTAGAAATGTTTCATTTAAGGGCCAGAATTAAATTGCCATAGGTTATTGCAAATTTAGCTTGAATAAAATTTGATAGAAATCTGTTTGTTTTTTTCCATTTAAAGGCCAACAACACCATCTGTGAATATTAAGAATGATTCCTATTGTTTACATGTGGTTATCTGTCAACCATGGGAAAGAATGAAATCCCTGACCAAGTAGGGCAAGGTAACAGCCCTTCCTGATGCCAAGGAGACTACAGTCTTTACTCACATGACTATTTTATACTGGGGCTCCAAAAGAAGTCTACCAAAAGAAATGGTGTGGTTGTATCCGGGACTACTTAATCCTTGGCTGCTTAATCCTTGGCTGCTTCTGTTATTCCAAGTTGTAATTTTCCATGTCATTTAAATTTGTAATAATTCTTTAATATGATAGAGTTTCAATGAACAAACATTCTGCTTGCTGCATTTCTTTTGAGTGAGTAATTTCTGACGACTACCAGATCTTGGCAGAAGCAAACCTGGTCATAAGTTATGCTCCATTTTCAGAGTGGTAAAACCTGTGATGTGTAACACAGTGTCTTTCAATTCAGATGCTCATTTTCCTAAAGGAAATTGGGGAGAAAGAAAGGAAGGGAAAGGAAAACATATACTCAAATTTAAGAGTACAACTAATGTATTATCCTAAGATAATACTAATAATGAAGTCATTTCTTCACAGTGAAAGATTCTATACAAAATTTCCCTCTGTTCTGAATGGCTTGATTGTAGTTTAAGTGCCAATAATAATTTCAATTATTGAAGGTCTGTAGAATAAAAGCATGAGGGGACATGTAAGGATTATTAACAACCAACCTAATTCATCAGAAAGGATTGAGAAGTTTGTCTTTTCTGGAAAACATTAAGGTTCTTCCAAGAAACTAGTAATGTGACTTGACCACACTGTTCATTAACAGAGGTTTGGATGGCCACCATGTCTGTCTGCTGGCAGAATCCAAAACTGTGGTAACTCTCTCCAGCAAGCTCACGGAGGGTTATGTCATCTTTACGTAGCCAGCCCAACACTTTTTCCATCTGCTAAAATGTAGAACATAATTGCTGATTTTACTTTTTCTTCAGTGGGGCGGGTTGGGGATGAACTGTTGCTTTTAAATTAAAAAGCATATGTTAATTGGCATTTTAAAAATCTGCTAAGCTAATCAGGCACCATGGAGTTTCTTAAAGGACAAAGATGAGCACAGAGTAGCTTTTCTGCCAGCGCCTTAGATGCTTGATGGGTGTTTCCAACTTGAATTGATGTACCAACCAGAAATTCTTTTCACTGGGGTTACCTGAAAAGTCATTAGCAATGCAGTCCTTTATCTACTTAGCTGGGTTTAGTAGTCAGATACCAGGTTGTATTTTTTTCTCAAATAGAAAGAGCTGTGAGTTGTGCACAATTGCTTAATCTCCTCTTTGAAATTACCCTCGTTTCCTGTCTTAAATTTTTACTAAAATTTTTGCTAATGGTCTTGGGAGTTGAGAAGATGACTGGATTGTTGCCTCATGTTTTGCACGTTCAGGGGAACAGGAGAGCATGTAAAATAAAAGCTACTCCTGCTAACCCCAGCTTCCTAATCACATTCAGAGATTGCTAAAGTGTTCATATTTATAAATGAGAAACCCCCGTACAGATTATACTATTTATTTCATGTTTTTCCCTTTTGTCATTTATAACATTTCTTAAATAAAATGACATCTTCTTTTTTCCATTATTATTTTAAAGGTCTCTGGGGAACAAGACTCATGGAAGAAAGCAACACTAACCGAGAGAAATACCTTAAAAGTGTTTTACGGGAACTGGTCACATACCTCCTTTTTCTCATAGTCTTGTGCATCTGTAAGTAGTCTCTTAGCTTCCACTAATGGAAAAGTTTTGAAAATGTTTGACCTGTCAAAATTAATTAAAAAGAAGTATGCAGGCACTGGAAGCATGTTGGCTCGAACCAAGAGTTCTCATTTGCTTTGTTTTCAATACTGATTTAGAATTGGGTAAACTCTTTTCTATCCTCTAGAAAGCACAGATTAAAAATCAGCATATCTGACTGGCCAGTTCATTGTCAGTTGTGGTCTTTTTTTTTTTTTTTTTTTATAAGAAGCATGGAGTCACTTGCCAAACCTGAAGAACCCAAGTTAAATGGTTTTAACATTAGATTTCATAGCAATGAATATGGTATCATCACTATTAGGAGATCAGTGAATATGAAGTCTTCTGTTTCAGAAGAATGACTTTCCAAGTTTAACTTTCAGGAAACTCAAATAATGTTACCTGGTATTATTTTGATATACATTTAAAGGTCCCTTCTTTTGGATTTGGATATGCCATGTCAGTGTTTCATACCAATTCTTTATTTTTTCCAAATCTTCAATAATTGCTCCACTTTACCTCAAGGAAACTTGTGCAGGCCCCTCCCACTCTCCCCACTACCATAATTCTGTTTCCATGATTTCAGCTATGTTAGATTTCTCATGTAAGAAATATGAGATTATTGTATAAAACATCCTAGAAATAAAAGCTAAAAACTCGAATAATCTATATATTACATTAAAAATTGCAAAGCAAGAGATGACATCTTAAACTTTTATGTCCCAAGCTGCTAGAAACTTTTATGTTCTAAGCTGTTTTTTACTAGGACTAGTAAGCTTCTAACAAGTTTTACCAGGGAATGTCTTCTTTTTATATTTCCTAAGACTTTGCCTACCCAAGTGGAAATTTAAGAAAGAAATGAAGTTTTTTTAAGCTAAAACCTCTGTATGTATGAAAAACATCATCTTCTTGTTTTTTTCACACTAAGTTTCTGAAGTTTAGTTTTAAAATATTTATTTAGGAAGAAATGTCTCATGCTTTTAAAAATGATTTTAGTCCTTTTTTTGTTTTTAAAGAAACTCATGATACTTTATTTTTTAAGAAAAAAGCTTTATTGAAGTATAATTTACAAAGCTTTATTGAAGTATAATTTAACTCATCCATTTAAATATCAAATACATGTATTTCTTTTTATAAATGTACAGAGTTGTGCAACCCTCAAATTCAATTTTAGAACATTTTCATCATCTCAAAAATATCCCCCAAACTTCCCTCTGTTGGTTGCATTTGGCAGAAAGCCCCTTTATCCTTCAAATGCTTCTGCTAACCATTACTTAGCTTTTGGTTTGTAGCATCCTACTGACTTTATTTCTTAATTTTTTGAGGGGGTTTTGAAAGGACTTGTTTGGTTTTTATGTCTTTGACTCATTACTCTACCCCCTTAATTCTGTTGCATGAATTTGGCCATGTTAGATTCCTCATGTAAGTGATATGAGATTATTTTATAAAACATGTTATCTAAGAAA